GGCATTCAGTAGGTGTTTGTTGAGTGAATACATGACAGAACATTTATAAAGAGCCTACTTTGTGCGGGGCCCGCGATGTACACAGATGAGTGGGATAAGTTCTCCAGGGCTTCACAGCTTGGGCTCTGCATGTCTGTGTGTTAATATGTATGTGTGCACATGTGCATGTGTGTATGTGTATGTGTATGTGTCTGTGTGTGTTAATATGTATGTGTGCAGTGTTGGGTGTGCATCTGCCTGTGTGCTTCTATGGATGTGTGTGCATGTGTATGTCTGCATGCATGTGTGTGTGAATATGTGTCTGTGCATGTGTGCACATGTGTCTGTGTATGTAAATATGTATCTGTGCATGTGTGCAATGGTGTGTGTGCATATGTCTGTGTGTGTCTGTGGATGTGTGTGCATGTGTTTGTGCATGTGTGTATCAGCATGCATGTATGTGTCTCTGTGTGTGAATATGTGTCTGTGCATGTGTGTGCATGTGTCTGTGTGTGCATGTACACGTGTTTGTGCATCTGCATATCTGCATGCATGTATGTGTCCGTGTGACTATGTATCTGTGCATGTGTGTGCATGTGTCTCTGTGTGTAAATATGTATCTGTGCATGTGTTCATGAGTCTGTGTGCGAATATGTATCTGTGCATGTGTGCATGAGTGTGTGCATGTGTCTGTGTCTGTGTGTGCATGTGTTTGTGCATGTGTGTGTCTGCATGCATGTGTATGTCTGTATGTGTGAATATGTGTCTGTGCGTGTATGCATGTGTCTGGATATGCATGTGTGTGTCTGCATGCCTGTGTGTCTGTGGGTGCATCTGTTCATGTGTGTGTGTGTGTGTGTGTCGATGGGGCCTTTTTTGGGTTCTGGCGCCTAGTTCATATTCTCCTCTCCAGACACACGTGTCCTGACGTCGGCACGCCAGTCTTTCCAGCGTGGAGGTTTTCTGCCCCTTGGCAGGTGCTGGCAAGTGCTAGAAGACCCGTCCCTCCTTCCTTTGTCAAGACCCTCCTTTCTTGCTGAGGACACTTGTCTTGAGAAAGTCGGAGGACCCCCACCAGGAAGGACCCAGTCCTTGGGACGGAGGCCACCTGTCCACGGGTGTTCGCCACATAAATCACGTGTTCTGGGCTGGAGCCTGGGAATACCGTTGTAGCCATCACTCCGGGAGAATTGCACAGCGCAGCAAGTTTGATAAACACTGGTCTGTTTGTGACAAACAGCCGTTCCCATGACCCTCCTTCAGAAGTACGGTATTTTCCTGTGTGTTAAATGCCAGGTTGTAAGAGGTCCCCAGTCTTGCACGGTGGCTGTGGGAATAGCAATGCAGGTGGCCAACACGCATGCAGGGCCAGGGGCCCGCCAGGCACCCTGCTGGGTCCCTCGTGGGTATTAGCTGATCAGCACTAACGGCAACCCCAGTGTGGTACAAGCCGCTATTATCCAATTTTCCACGTGAGGAAACTGAGGCACCTAAATGTAAATGCCTTGCTCAAGGTCGCACTGATGGCAAAGCCTGAGTCTGGGACTCAGGCCCAGACAATCCGGCTCCAGAATCAGATTTATTAGCCCCTATTGCTCAAGGAAAAAAATGCAAGCACTTTTCATTACTCGTTTATTGAAAGTGATGTCGAAGTGGTATTGCAGGAGAAGACCTTATTTTGTTCGTGCAACTATTAATGCATTTTACTTGCTTTCTAAATGCTCGTAGGAAATTATACATCCTGACCACACATGGGGATTTGGGTGGATTTCGTTGGAAGCAGGAACATGTGGTACAGGGGAAACGTGGGGGTATCTTGCAGGGGGGAGAAAGCATCTCATACTCCAGAAAACTAGTGTTTGTTTGATTTTTTTTTTTTTGAGACAGAGTCTTATTCTGCTGCCCGGGCTAGAGTGCCATGGCGTCAGCCTAGCTCACAGCAACCTCCAATTCCTGGGCTCAAGCGATCCTCCTGCCTCAGCCCCCCGAGTAGCTGGGACTACAGGCATGCGCCGCCATGCCCGGCTAATTTTTTCTAGATATTTTTAGTTGTCCAGCTAATTTCTTCCTGTTTTTAGTAGCAACGGGGTCTCCTGAGCTCAAATGATCCACCTGCCTCTGCCTCCCAGAGTGCTGGGATTACAGGCCTGAGCTACCGCGCCCGGCCTGTTTGATTTTCTAGATATCCTGAACGCTTGGCTGTGGGCTGGGAGGTGGGAGGCGTGCCCACGGGGAGAGGCACCCCTTGTTTGGGGCATGATGCTCAAGAACTCGCTGGGACCCCCAACCCCACAACCCCAGGCAGCCAGCCCCTCTGGGGTGGGTGCACGTGCTGGTGTTGGTGCAGGGAGAGCCCTGGTGGCATCGCAGACACCCCTGGGGGGTGGCGTCCACAGACGGGGAGTCACATGGTCACTCGCTGCCACACCCGGGAAGGTCCTCCCGTGGACATGGGGACACAGGCCAAGGGAAGACCAAGCTGTGGAAATTTGCAATGAGCCCGGGGAGAGGAAGCGCTAGGCTCTCCACTGCCAACCGGGCCAAACTCTGCTAGAAGCTGAGACTCCATGACTCCGCACAAATCTGAGCAGAATTCACTCCTCGTCGGACCCTGCCCTCTCCCCGAACCAGACTGAAACCCGAGCGTCACCAACGAGGTTCCTCTCTATATCCTGGGAACAAGGGCGTTTCTCTCTCTCGCAGTTCCGCCCAGGTACACGACACGCCGCGTTTAAACATCCACTCGGATCAGCCAGAGAGGTTGGGTCACGCTGTGGTAGCAAGCGAGGCTCCCACCCCGCTGGCCTGGGCAGTCCACGGTTATTTCTTGAACATGCTAAGCGTCCACGCCAGTCAACAGTGGTGTTCTGCCACCTGCAGTCACTCAGCACGCGGCGTGAATGTGGCCCCCAGCTGTGCCAAAGGGGAGAGACCTGGGGTCTCCCCTGGCCGTCGGGTGCCCAGCCTGCCAGAGAGACTTGCTGTTCCCGTTCGTAGCTTCCTGCACAGAGGATGTGGTTGGTATAGACACCCCCAGTGCCAACGGCGGGGTAGGAGGTGAAATCCGGCCATGTGCTTGGAAGGGGGAGGACTGGAGATATTTTGGTGAATGGCGTTCTCCATCAGCTCAGAAGCCTTCCGGCAAATGAGGGTTTTATTCCAAATGCACCCACACCCCCAAATGCCAGGCTCCCCTGTTGCATTGCTAAATGAGAGTTTAATGCAACCTCTTTGGGGAAGAGGAGGCTGAAGCAAAAAGTGGTGAACTCTGGTTTAGACCAAACCCATCAATGAGGTTGATCTCAGGCACCTGCCTCACCTTCCGGAAGGTGTGGCCCCCGGGGAATCACAGAGAGACTTTCTCCGACTTCCCGGGGAGCTCTGTAAAGCCAGCACCCCTGCAGGTGGCGAGGCTCAGCGCCAGGGGCTGGGGCCTGCAGGGGTGGGGAGGGACGCGGACCGTGCCCCCCGCCCAGGACACCCCTACCGTCTGCACAGTGACGTTCATGGTGTCCCCCGCCCCTCCTGGCACTCGCTGAGACGCAGGTATCTCGGCTGACTCCTGGGAGACATGCCAGGGAGCAAAGCCTCACGCAGAGATTTATGACAGCCATTTGTATACACGAGGCGCTCACGGACGGGCACTCCTGCGCCACCTTTCCGTTTTATTTAGTGTGAAGGAGCAAGCTGCTCCAAGTCACAGCGCACGTCCCTCGTAAATCAGCCGTGTCGGCGCACCTTCCGAGGGGCCGGCCCGGCCTCGCCACGGGGCCCTCGGCTGCGCTCGCTCCCCGGGGGGCCGGGCAGCACCAGCGCCCGCCAGCCAGCCCCGATGTCTGAGCCCTGCACACGGGAAAGCTGCGCGCAAGGAAGAAGGAGGGGACGGCGAGCACGTCTGTCCTCTGAAGCAGCTTCCCTGACTGTCCGGCAGGAGTCTTGGCCCCTCGGATCCCGTGGCCTGCGGACACCTTCCGCCAGCATTTGCACAGCTCGCCTCCTCCAGCTGGTCACACTGCCGCCCCGACGTGG